AAGCATGTTTTTGTGCTCTTTTAATATTAGTTTTGACTTCAAGATGATTTTCTAACGTAGTAGTCATTCCCTCTTTCAATGTTATTGGGTCTTCAGAGTCTATTATTGATCTACTAATGATTATATTCTTTTTTCTTTGTCTAATCTTTCCAATGAGCGTTTTAGATCATTTAATTTTTCCGTTATCTTTTTGTTATCGGTTTTGGTTAGTTCGTTTTCTGTTTTCAGTCTTCTTTCTCTTTTGTCCATTCTTCCTTCACCCTTTCTATTTCCAGTTTTATGATTTTTATTTCTTCATTATGTGTGTAAAATTGGTGCCTTAAAAAGGAGTTTCAATTAAACTGTAGATTATATAGTTTAAAATATTCATTTTCTTTTAGTTATCTACTTTAATTTACCTGCTTATTAACTTCACTTTTCATAAACAAATTTAAATTATCCTATCTATTTATTAAATACTTACCACCTAGTGAAAAACAAAAAACAATTATCATAATTTCACTGGCATCTGACACAACACAGCAACACATAACCTTGTTCAGATAAGTGGATTAACAATTACAACGAAACTTTCCGAAGCCTGAAGGCGGGCCAAATGCATTGCCTTTGGAGGGAAGATATTCACCAAAGAATATAGACGCTTATAGAAGCGTCTATATTCTTTGTATTCACTGACTAGCTGTGTTGCTCCTGCGTATTGCGTACGCAGGATTCCAATGTAAAAGTTTATATCAAATAACGCAAAAACTATGGCAGATATTGAGATGATTCTTTTTTTATATGGAAGGTCTAAAAAAGTTATAGTGCACTATTTGGTTGTAAATTAATAAATTGTTTAAACAATTTTTTTTTCAAATATTTTTGGTTAAAATAAACGAAAAAAATTTTTTTTTAAATAGGGCACTACAGAATTTGACCCACTTTCCGAATCTGTTTTTATTTTTAACATAAAGTGTAACACAAAGCAGCTATTTGATATAAACTTTTTAAAAATTTCAAATTTTTGATAAACGCAATTTTCTCTCCGTCAGCACAGGGTGTCCTTGTCGGTAGCTTCTGGATTCTCGCCAGAGATAGGTAAAACCCTCGGAGGAGGATAAATAAAGTTGAATAACATTATTAGGGCTTATTCCGACTTTTGACAAACCAGTGTGTTTATTGTATTTAAAATAGGAAATGTTATATAAATAAGCAGTAAGTACCTATAATTTTATTAAATTTTTATATGAATAGAAATATTTTCTGTTGATTTTCCATTTTCTTTCTAAATAGTTATACTGTTTTTATAATAATACAATTGTTTCAGTATTTGCTTATATAATAATAATTTATTATATAGAAACAGCGTAGAGTTTTGGTCAATCATCCAGTACATTTTTTTTTGTATTTCAATCAGAATTATTATTTTCTTTTCTTCTTATTTATATTTATTGGTTAGCAACCTACCAATCGTAAAATCAAATACTGCTCAAAGAAACAATGTACAGTCTCGGAACCGGATTGATACTATGAAGACGACTACGGCAAGAAATAAGGACAAGCGAAAAACATCCAAAACCCAGATGAGAATTACTTGGAATATCAGATCACTCAACTCAAGGGACCAAGAAATAACCCAAGTGTTGAAAGAGGAAGAAATAGACATTTGTGACTAGGAAGAACCTACAAATCCAAACCGAACAAGCAATTTCAAACTAAAAAAATTTTCTATATCTCCGGATCTACTCAATGGATTTTGATCATTCTTATTTTTTTATTTTGTATTATCTATTTTTAATTTGTATGTAATTTCTACGTACATTAGGAATTAGTAATTTGTTTATATATTAATTAATTAATAAATAGTCTAGTTTGTTTAAACAATTCGTGCAAAACAATTTTCTTCCAAAAATCTATTTTTTTTTTAATACTAGTATCAATAATCATAGAAACAGTCGCGTTTTTTGCATTAAATTGTCAATAATTAAAAAACAGCTCCAAATTCAAGGCAAAAAAAAGTAGGTTTTCTTCCTAGAGGTCTACAATAACTAAAAAAGTTGTCAGCGACCTGGATTATTGAGTGTCACGAACATGGTCTATTTTTTGCTTATTTCCCTGGAGTATATATTTGATTAACATCTGTGTAATTTCTTTGTCGCTTCCTCGCTGGTTTTGCATATTGCTATGATTGCAATATCTTCGGTAAATGTTGCAGTTGTATATTTTCTAGGACAATAATATAACACGTATACAAAAGGTAAAGACACTTCTTTGTGGCAGCCCTGCTGTAATATCTGTCAATTCCATGTATGTTTCTTCCTGTTTAATTCTGAAATATCTTTCCAAGATGGAGGAGTCAATTATTTGAGAGTATCGTTTTGGTAAATGTAGTCTTAGTTTATAGTTATGGCGTCTTTGCCATACTTTATCATATACCTGAGTCATATCCTAAATTATTGATATAAGGTTGAATGCTCGAATAAATAAACTTTAAAAAATGAAGGCAAATTTCGAGCACAAATTTAATAATCAAATATTGCCCAAGTACTTTCGCTTTCTACAGCATCATAAGGGGCATCTGCGCGTGCTGGATAGACCAAATTTGACGAAGTAAGTCTAAAATGTTAATCACAAAAAACTTTTATCATCCATTAACTTCCAGTTTTTTATCGAAGTTTATTAATTTTCTTCATTTAAAAAAACTTTTCTTGGCTTATTTCAGATTCCCCTGATGATGCTGTAGAAAGCGAAAGTACTTGGGCAAGATTTGATTATTAAGTTTGTGCTCGATATTTGCCTTAATTTTTCAACGTACATCCTAAAATGTCAAAATGTCCATCATATTATCCTTCATGATCCATATTTCACATCCATATAAATAGTTATACAGTATATTTCATCATCATCATCATCATCATCAATGGCGCTACAACTCTTCGTAAGTCGTTGCCGCGGTTACTATTGCCTTCTATGTTGGTCGGTCCTGTGCCAGTAATTCCCATTGTCGCACTCCCATTTTCTCTAGATCTAGGAGTATATTTACATATAACAAATTAAATCCTTAGTTGTAAATTTTTGAAATAAGTACTCAGTATACATCTAAGTTTCATAAATGCTCCTCATAAATCTCATAAATCTAAACTTTTGTACTCCGTTCTTTGTTGACAATTAGTTGCATAGGGCCGACGTTTACTAAAAGCGTAAGAAGTAAATTAGTCTCTTACTGAATGATAATAAACAACACATCAAACTTATTCTGAAACTATTTCTTGTGTCATGGTATATTTTATTATATTTTGGTGTAGTAAATCACAACCTATCAAATTCAATATCAAAAATCAAAATTGGAAATGATAGCGTGACTAAATTATTCCTTCCTTCAAGAAATTTTAAAAAGAACTGATTTCTATTACTATCCAGTACAAGGACAGTTATTTTGTTATTTATATCGAATAGAGAATACTGTTAGTTTGCGGTATGGACCTCAAAAAATATTTTATTCGAAAAGATTGATAAATATATGTAACTGTGGGAAAATATGCTACAAAAATTTCAAGATTTTTATTATAATTTTTATTTGAAACACCTTCTGAAGAAACATTAGACATAATTCTATATTTATATCGTTTCATTTTATCAATTTTAATAATCGTGATACTAATCAAATTTTTATGATATATAATAATAATCTTTTTTTTATAATTTTTATTTTCCGTAAACTTTAATCTACCTACGTTAAACTTCAGACAGCCAATTTTTCCGTAAAAAAATAACAAATAAATTATGTATGTACATTTGTTACATTGTAAATTTATGAATATATTATATTACTTTGATCTGTTATTATATTTACTCAAAATACCACTAAAGAGATTTATGGTGTTATTGTAAGCCAAAACCTGTCACTGCAGGGGTTGTCTCGGTGTATAATCGGCTCGAGTAAAAGGTAAACGCATTTTTGACCTGGGCTTGAAAGAGATCTAAACGAAGTTTAGAATATTACTTCATGAACAGATTTTGTTTTCGTAAAGAAAGAAATTTTTGAAATAGAGATAGCAAACTGAAATTTACCGTTAGAATTTTCGAGGATAAGCCTTAAGACAAAGAGACGTTGTTGTTGTTGTTGTTTGTTTGTGTTTAAATGACTGCGGACACTAAATCCATTCGCCAATCTTACAATTTGAGGTGTAGTGTGTGTGTGTGTGTGTGTGTGTGTGTGTGTGTGTGTGTGTGTGTGTGTAGAGTAATTGTCTTGATACTTAGCAAAGTCGACGTCATTGTCTTTGCTAAGAGACGCTAATTGTATCCGAACGTCTGCGGCCCCTCCGGTGTGTACCGATCACACAAGGATAGAAATTATTTTCATTTATTAATTTTTTTAATAAACGAAAATTTCCACCCAGGTGGGATTCGAACTCACGACCTTTAGGTTTAAAGGCAGGCGCTCTTACCACTGAGCCACAGAGGGGGTCAAAGAGACGTTATATACATTGTATTCTATTCTAAGGCGAAAATTTAAAGCGCCTCTTACTACTACGAGGAGCGAAAAATAATTAACTTCGGAGAGAATATAAGAAAAAGCTTTTTTTATTTTAAATAGGTATTATGTCAAAATTTATAAATTACAATTTTGAAATAAGTAATTTATATTAATAAATAATTTATTATTGTACATTTGAAGAGGTTAGGCGGCTCCTATCTTGCTTACCCTGATGAGCCGCCCCTGAAATAGACGTTTATGGTATGTACATAAATAGATATTTAAAGTTAGATTAGATTAAACGACTTTAACATATGAGTCACTATCATGCACATAGTGTTACATATTATGTAATGAGTCTTTGATGTAATCGAATGCGTAGTATCAACATCATGTATTCCGCCATATCCACCACAACGGCAGACAAACTCTTGTTTATAACTATAATTAAAATAGTTATATTCTAAAATGTACACATTTCTATTTGACTATGTCGTTTTATTGATAAATACGTTAACTGTACAAACTTATTAACTTTTAGAAAAGCTGTGCGCACTGACTGCACCACAAATCCTGCAAAGTTATTTAGAGTGGAATTAAAAAAACCATTTAGAGGAGCACCTTATTGGGAAAAGCACATCATAAAAGAATTTCAACTTGATAAAAAAGTAAGTATAACTTGAACTATATTGAATATTTTATACTAAATTTTTGATTGTTTAATCCTATAAACACAACCATTTAAAATGTAATTAAAATTCGCGATAAAGAAAAATATAGATCCCAGAGGAAAATACAAACACAAAACAAAAAGCTTATCTTATTTGATGATGAAACGTAAAATACATTTTCAAAATCTGCTTCCAGTAACAGAAAAGGATAGAAAATTTATCCGAAATTTGAAGAAAATACGCACATGAAAACCATCGTATTCTAAAATATGGCCGAGACCAACTAGGTTTACAAACACTATAAAAATATATAAGAAGCACAGTAAGATTATTTTAAGGAAATTTGGAAAAGAGAACTTACAAATATACTTAGACTTAGAAAAATAAAACTACAAAATATAAAAATGAATATCACTAAATTGTAGCTCTTTTTTCCTCCCCAGATAATTATCTCACTTATTGTGCAATTTTTTTTAATACTTTAGATTACCTCTGACTTTCTTTGATTATGGTTAAACTATGAAGTATATAAAAAATATTTCACTGATGTATAACGAAGACGTCTATGATTTAAAATTGTTTTCGTTTATACAGGGACGGTCAAAACAACGGAATGAACCAAAGATGTTTTTTTTAATGGAACACTCTGTATATTAAAACATTTTTAAATAAATTTTTGTTTATTTATTTTTGAAATATTGACTCTTAAGTAAAACGGTAATATTAAAAAGGCTGTGGATTATTTTTCCAAAGCAATGAAAATATAAATGTCACAAGATTTTCTAGTGTAGCTTTATTTTTAAATAATTTAATATCCGTGACATCGAGCCATACAATATACAGTGTGATCACTATTTTCAAATACAAAATCTTCTCATTTTTTTTTTAATAGACACAGTATTGCATTTTGTAGAAAATATTACATCTTTACATTGCAAATATTAAATTTCTTTTGATAGCGGCTTTTATATACCTAGCATGTTTCGTTTTGTAGATATTTAGAGTATAGAACTATAGAATTTGTGTCTTTGCAGATTTTTTAATAATAAGGTTTGTGTTCCTACTGAAATATCAAAAATTAAACAAAGTATGCTATTAAAAATTATTTGAATTTAATAACTCATTATGTTGCAATATAATATTTACCTAATCGATAAGCTATATGTATAAATGGATTATTAAGTATGTAAATAAATGTTGAAAAGTTACCCAATATGCTTAACACACAGTCGTATACGGTTGATAATAAACGAGTAAAGAACGTATTGTACCGAACATAGTAGCCCATTATAACGGTTGCATCTCGAGTCGACGAAGATCTGGTGGCGAATAGAGGTGGATTATTCCAGAATATTCTAGTACAAAATAACTTGTATATATAAGCAGCGCTTTTATCAGTTAAAGTGGAGTTAATAAGATATCATCGGGCTGTAAACTTATAAATAAATGTATTTATATAAATTAGAACCGTTCGTTTTATTAACCCTAGAACAACAACGTGAAAGTAGGGTTACGATACTAACAACGTGGCGTCGTATATGACTCCAAAAGAACTGGCCCTAAAGCATAAAAAAGTACATTATTTTTTAAATAAAGTGTTTTTATTTTTGGTTATAACCATAAATATTCATAAATTGTATACAAAAATATTTTTGCATAAATAACAAATGAGAAACTTAAAATAAAACTGTGGTACTGCATAAAAGTATAAAAAAATATTGACGCTAGTTTTTTGACAAAATACAACAACTGAATAAATGTTTTTATAAGTAATGACACATAATAAACCAAAGGATACACTTTTATAAACAAAAAGTAATTTACTTGCAGTCACTGCAAATGCACAGGCGGTGTTCGGCGCACACCATTTTCGGGCAATGTTTACATTTATTGCGCGCTTTTCGGTTTTTGCTTCTTGGGCAAAAGTCACAGCGACCCATTGAACCCTGGGGCTTTTGTTCTATTATTTCTTCATCTTTACAATTTAAAATGTCACTGATACTGCTGCGGATTTGTCTTGGCAAGTAATTATTATACATTAGTTCTTTTAAACAATTTTTTACCAAAATGCTCGACAGCTCCTTTAGAAAGTTTGATCGAGACAGTGGTTTATTAACATTTAGTTTATGTATGACGTAACTGTTGACTCCTGCAATATCCATCATCATCATCATCACTGGCTTTTACAACTCTTCGTGAGTTTTTGCCGCGTTTACTATTGCCTTCCATTGATTCCGATTCTGTGCTATTATTTCCCATGGCCTTACTTCCATCTTCTCCAGGTCTTCCCTGACTGCGTCTTTCCACCTTTTTCTAGGCCTTCCTGTCGATCTTTTACCGTCTGGTCTTTCCCAAAACACATTGCTAATCAGTCTGTCGTCATCACTCCGTACCACGTGGCCTGCCCATCTTAATCTATTGACTTTTATGTATCTTACGATGTTTCCTTTCCCGAAGAGAGTCTCTATTTCATTGTTGTATCTTCTCCTCCATTCATATTCAATATCCAACATGCCATAGAAAATTCGCAATGGCCATCTGCAAGTTTTTCTGGCGACGGTTGTTAAATGGCAGAGTTGATCAAACGTATCTATACCACCTTTTGTACTATTGTAGAACAAGATTATCTCTGGATTTTTCGATTCTTCATCTACATCATCTTGAGTGTGCATAGACGATAAAAGAATAACGTTTTTATTTTTTTTGGAACGAATGACACTAAAGTGTTTTTCTCATCAAAAGCAAATAGAGATGATGAAACTTGTTTTCCTTTTGTTTCAATTAGTTGTCGAGGTATTTCTGGCTTGATTTTTCTAAGCGTCCCCACTACAGTAAGACCTTTTTCTCTTAACACTTCCGATACTTGATACGAAGTGAACCAGTTATCCATGGTGCAATTCCTATTGGTTCCATATATATCACTTGTAAGATGCAGTACATATTGTGTTGGAATTGAATATTGTGAACAACGAATCTCTTTTCCCACGTAAGGCTTGGCTGAACACATGTAATATGTCTTGGCATCACACATTGTTACTATTTTGAGCCCATATGTATCAGGTTTATTAGGAATGTACATTTTAAATGGACATCTACCTCTAAAACCTAACAAACTTTCATCAATGGTGACATATTCGGACGGGGTGTACATCTGTCTACACCGGCCCTAGAAGATGTCCCAAACTTCTCTAACAGCAGAAAATTTGTCAGTTGCCTTTCTTGTTAATCTTGTGGTTTTATCATCAAACCTAAGACATGATACTAAAAATTCAAAACGATTTTTGCACATCGTAGCTCTAAAAACAGGCGGACCAAACTGCTTAGACCATAAATTGTTAGTTGTAAGATTTGAAGATTTCAAGACACCACTGAGATAAAGCAATCCTAATAAAGCGCGAATTTCAACGAGGTTTGTTGGTTGAAGATAACGTTGTTCAGAATGAAAGCGAGCTTTTTTAATGTCTATTTCACAATTTGTGTACGTCACAACAATTTCTAATAAATCGTCTGTAAAAAATAACTGCCACAATTTGCCTATATTCTTTTCATTTCTAGCTGCTCCTTTTGGTCCAGGAAGATGAGTAATTAAATTGTGACGAGATGTTCTTGTATTTTTAGAATGAAAAGGTTTTAGATACCATTTGTGACCGTTCTTTGAATAAATTGTTGTGTTGTATTGCGGACTATCTTTACTTGTAGTTGATTCTGGAGTTTCTTCCGCTTCTTCGGCCAAAATTTCTAAATTATGTGCATCAAATTCATCTTCCACATGATCTTCAGTTTCCTCTAAATCTTCAGTCTCGCTTTCCTCGCTCTCAATACATATGTCACCATCGTCAGTGTCGTCCAAAAGCAACTTCTCAAGTTCATCATGAGTTAAAGGCCGGTTTCTTATATATATATATATATATATATATATATATATATATATATATATATATATATATATATATATATTGTTCATGTTGGGGTTCTACTGGTATTTACCTAGTCAAATTCAAAATATCTCTTAGTTTTTAGCAAAATAATAAAATAAAAAAATTACCTGATAAAAATTTATTTTTCACGTAAATAACAACGTGGCGTCGTATACGACAAATCGCTCAGATTTCACAACTTCAAAAAATTATTTGCACGTACCCTCTTGCCTGCGTGATCGTTGTCACTGAACTGAAAGGTACTGGAAATACAAGCGATGTATGTACAGAAGCGCATGAGTACACAGCGATTATATTTTTCACCGGTCACCGGCGACGCCACGTTGTTATTCTAGGGTTAAAGCACGATTGGTGTCACGGTGTAAGATTTAAAAATAAATTCAGCAGTGACTTTTGAAAAAGAATTTTGAAAAGTGTTGTTCGTCGGCAACATACGCGTTGTTCGGTAGTGATATTTGTACGAAAGAACATTTAAAAAAGAACGTGTGTGCCTGACCAAAGATGCTGCTAGTAGAACTTCCAATAAAACAGTTGTGTGAGCTACTAGAAGAACGCGATGAAGACTGCAGCGGGTCCAAGAAGATACTCCAAGAACGACTGAAGACTGTTCTCAACAAGAATGGAGACGACCGAGAGACATTCCAATTTCAATCAGCAGAAGAAGAAGTTTTAACGAAGATCAAAGAAATTTCTGGAAAAAATGACGAAACATTTAAAAAAGTTTGATCGAAGAACCTTCTAGAAAAAATGATCGAAGAACCTTCTAGAAAAAATGATCGAAGAACCTTCTAGAAAAAATGATAATAAATTAGAGAACGTTTCCAAAAGATGTGATGATATGTCTTAATATATTAAAGAAGCAACTAGACAAAACGACGAGAAATCCGAAAATGTTTCTAGAAGATTCAACGAAGTATGTAGTCAGAACAATGAGAAATTTGAAGAAGTTTCTAGAACATTCGATAAGATACAGAAAAATGTTAACGACAAGATAGAAAACGTAGAAGAGAAGATCACACAATTAGAGACCATGATAACCAATACAAAAGTGCTACCACC